ACCTCGACACCCTCGACACTGCATATACCCGTGCCGGTCTGGGTATCAACACCGGAAAGACAGAAGTGATGTTCCAGGGTCAAGGTTCTAGCTCCCCCTGCATACAGATCAAGGGCACACAGCTGAAGAACGTCCGATCATTCACATACCTGGGATCGGTCCTGACCTCACCTTCTGACGCCACTGACGACGTCCAAAGGCGAATCGGACTCGCATCTGCTTCTTTCGGACGCCTTTCAAGCAGAGTTTTCCTGAATAAGGACTTAGCTACCCAGACAAAGGTCGCGGTCTATAAGGCAGTATGCTTGTCCATCCTGCTTTACGCCAGCGAGACCTGGACTCTCTACAGACGACACATACGGTCTCTTGAGCGTTTTCACATCCGATGCCTACAAAGAATCCTCGGACTCAAATGGTGGCACAAGGTCCCCCACGTCGAAATACGTCGGAGGGCCAACGTCGACCCCATGGAGACCATCTTACTACAGAGACAACTGAGATGGACTGGTCACCTAATCCGCCTACCCCCTAACCGTCTGCCAAGACAAGTCCTCTACGGTGAGCTAACACATGGCAGGAGGGCGGTCGGAGGACAGTATAAGCGTTTCAAGGACTGCTTAAAACATAACTTGAAAAAATGCGACATTCCCACCCAAGAGTTGGAACACTGCGCAGCAGACAGGAGTGGGTGGAGGAGCGCCTGTACGGCCGGCTCACAGCTCTATACGAGGAGACTCAATGAGCTGTCGGAGGCCAGGAGGGCAAAACGCCACCTCAGAAGGGAAAGAGGAGGGAGGACATCGTCGGCACCCGACGGTCTGCCATAAGCAGCAAGCACCTGATGTAGGCACGGGCTCCTGGCGTCCCTGCAGCTGGTCGATCGTCTCTCCTGATGTAGGCACGGGCTGCTGACGTCCCTGCAGCTGGTCGGTGCTCTCGCCTGTAGGTACGGGCTGCTGACGTCCCTGCAGCTGGTCGATCGTCTCGCCTGTAGGTACGGGCTGCTGGCGACCCTGCAGCTGGTCGATTGTCTCGCCTTGTATTTTGCATGCTTGTATCATTACTAATCCTTGGCTAGAGAACAAGCAAAAAGTTGTTACAACCAACTAGAAAAATGGAATGAAGTTCCTGATAATGTACATGTGTTTCTAAACGAACCTACCTGATGTAGGCACGGGCTCCTGGGCGTCCCTGCAGCCCGGGGAGTACCACTAGGAGGTCAACACTCCGACTTTCTCCCCTAAACGGTCTCCGCCTTCTCACCCTCTGCGCTGAACACTCTCTCGTAATTACTAATACCCTTTTTCAGCTGCGCGAGATGCACAAGACCACTTGGATGCATCCCAGATCTAAGAGATGGCATCTACTTGACTACATACTAGTGCGACAGTGCGACCGCAAAGATGTTAGAATCACCCGCGCCATGCGGGGAGCCCACTGCTGCACAGACCACAGAATGGTTAGAACCAAGCTAAACCTGCACATCCGGAAACCTCTGCGGAAGAGCACACGGCCAGGGAAAGTCAACCTAGCCGCGCTCAATGAATCCTACCAAGCTGAAAGAACTACAGGATAACCTTGCAAACCTTATCCCGGCCGAGCTCGATGAAGCTGCCATTGACACGGACTTCCTTACCGACGCATGGGAAGACGTG